GCGAGGATCCTGGAGGCAAAAGGGAATTCTGGAGACTTCTTGCTTATGGTTTGTGCTCTGCCAAAGCAGCCCAGCAGTTTAGTTAACAAGATCACTTCCTGTGTTACACGAGTTAGTGTTGGTTTTAATTAGAGGTAATGCTGTAGTTTGAATGTACAACACAATGGGGTATAAAATGCAGTTCAGCATATATAGCAAAGATGATTTTTCCAATTATAAAGCTATTTAGAAGGCGGATACATTGGAAATGATAAGTCAAGCTGCAGGTTAGGTGAGCAAGCTGGAATGCGCGTGCAGCCACGCATCCGCAGGGCTGTCCAGGAAAGAGGGAAGTGCTCTGGAGAACAGGTCTGTGTGCATAATTAGCTCAATCTGACATTAATGCTAATTTCAGCATTTGTGATGCAGGCTCACTCCTAGCACCCTGGTCCACTCCTACCCCACGGAGAAGCTGAGGATGCGAAGCTGTAATGAATTCTAGAGGGTGCGCACCAGAGCCGAGTTCCTGCACAGGTTTCCGGGGTGTTCTCCGAGCCTCGCGTTGTTCCTTTGCTTCAGGGCCTCTTTCTGCCTCCTGCTCATGGAGAAAGTGCTCCTGGTTTAAGTAAAGGCTTGGAGAACTTCCCGGTGTTCCTGACTGCTGCTGCGTCACTTGTTAACTGTATCGCACCTCTGGATAACCCAGGCACGTGCCTGAGATCTGAAGTTCTGGGAATTCTGCCAAAGTATTTCATGAGCTTAAACTCCCCTTTGGTCATTTTTAATGGTTGCAGTGTCAGGCAGTTTCAGTGGGGAAAGAAAAGCCACCAAGAGACCAAGCTGGTACCTGGGTATGCAGGGATGTGAATGGAGATGGAACTGGAGGCTCTGACTTTGCAGAGCTCCAGTTCCTTCATTTTCCTTGAGCGGTTTGGGATTAGCTCATGGAGTGTATGGACGTGTTTGGGGGGAGGATTTTTGTTTCCAGAGACTCTGTCTTCAGCCTGTTGTAGAGATTCCCCCGATACATCCCGATCCAATCTTAATTACATCCTTAACCTTGCAGGAAGTGGCATAAAATCAGAAGACTCATCCTGCTAAAGCAGGGCGCTGTTCTCTTGCTTCTGCACCACCTGGAGCGTCTGCTCAGCTTCAGAACACAGAGGTGAAGTGTTTCTCAAAAGCCAAGGCAGTGAAGAGCTTGTCACCTCGGCTGGCTCTTCACAGCAGTAGTCACACGTGTTTTGATTAACTGCAACCCCAGCACAGCACACAAACAAAGCAATTCTGCAGGTACTTACAATTAACGGGCTCTGTAACCAGCCTTAGATCTCACTGTCCCCTGTCGGTTCCTTCTGCAGCGAGACGGAGACGCCTTCAGTATACAAAAGCTTCAAACCCATCTAAGATCTGCTTTTGCAGAGCCCTGTGATAGTGAGTGATAGATGAATTCTACTGCAAATTCCAAACAAAGACGTGAAGCTGGAAGTGGTGTGGTTTCGGTGTGACCCAGGCCTCTCGGAGTCATTCATAAAACATGGGGCTTGTGATTGATTCACACAAATCACTTCCCATTGCCCGGGCGCTGCTGTTCCACCCCAGGGCAAGGAGCAGATGGAGCCGCTCTCTGAAGGACTTGAACCCCAGATCACTGCGGGTGACTGAATCCTTTTGCTGTTTGTGGGAGCCCCCCCCCCCCCCCCCCCCCCCCCCCCGCTAATGACCTCCAGAAAGCAGATTCTAAATTAACTCACAGGGAAGGATGAGGCTCCTCAGTGGCTTTCAGTGGGGGACTGCAGGCTGGGACCCATAGGTTATAATGAAATGATTGGAATATGTGTTTTCCTTAGGTATATATATAAATGTTTTTCTGTACTTACAGTTTTTTTGTTATAGATATGCTGATTTATTTTCTGAGCCAGATGAGAAACTTTGGTTTTAAAAAACCTTCAGTTTTTAGAAGAGAAACTCCTCGCTTGGCTCAGTTCCTTGTGCCTTGATCATTTGTCATCTTTAATGGTTATTTCTTCCTAATCTAACTCTCCCCTCTGGCAGGTTAAAGCCATTCCCCTTGGTCTGTCCCTTCATCTCTTATCCAAAGCCCCTCTCCAGGTTTCCTGGAGCCCTTTAGGAGCTGCCCTAAGGTCTCCCCTTCAGGAGCCTTCTCTTCTCTAGGCTGACCCAGCCCAGCTCTCTCAGCCTGGCTCCAGAGCAGAGCTGCTTTAAAACCTGTTCCTGGTGATTCAGGGACTGACCCCACTGAAGGTGCAGTGAAATCCCGGAGATGGGGAGTACTTCTGGGTATTTGTACTGTTTCTTGAACGCTCTCTCATGTTTGGCCAACGTGTTTGCAAACCTTTGGTATTGGACTGTCTGTGCTGCGAGGCTCCGGGCTGTGGGTCTGGTGCGGGCTCTGGAGAGCTCTGCAGTGTTCAGCCCCAGCGAAGCTCTGCCTCCTGACTCCTCTGTTGGGCTGGCGAAGGAGGATTTGCAGGTTAGAGCAGGACTTGGAGGCGTTGTTTCCAGTTGGTCCCAGTCCTGCCGCAGTCATCTAATAAGTGCGGAGCGGTGAGGCTGTACCAGCACGGACAAGTCAGCAGCGTGCAGCAGTTACCTGGCGCTGGGGTTGGAGACAGCGCCGGGGGCTTCCAGCACAAACAGCAGCTCCTCTGCTCAGCTGGGGCTGCCCTGGGCTCTATCCGAGCTGAGCACGGTGCTGGTCTCACCGCTGGCTGTGGGCAGCCCCGTGGCACCGTGGTGGGATCCAGATCCATGGGGGAAAAAGCTGGTTTTCATCCCCCATGCGTGTGTCTTGGCCACGTCTCCTGGGTGATGGTTGGGGTTGGGGGTGAGAAGAGGACTCTGTGGTTGAGTCAGATGGGGCTGAGCCCATGGTGGGTCTGGGGCGCGTTGGTACCTTGTGCTGTGGGTGAAGGGAAGGCGATGAATCCTCCTGTTGAGGCATGTTGGGATGGGAGAATTGCCCAGGCTACATGGTCCTTGTCTTCCTTTGCTGAGGGGAAGATATGTACCAAGGCAATCGAGCTGTCTCTTCAGGAGCAGGCAGATTGTAAAAGCAGGCTTAATTTTGTGCTTCACTTTTGTACCAAAGAGCTGATTTCTGAACCCATTTCCCAGCCCGCAACACATCTCAAGGCATTAAAATATTGTGAATTTGCTTGTCATTGCCAATATTTCCTTTGACTGAAGCTATTGAAACAAAGTAGGGTTTTTTTTCCTTTCTTCCTTAACCTTCAATCTTGCCTCTAAAAGAAGGAGCGCTTTTCTTTCTTTCTTGGTCAAATATAAAAATGATGATAATTTCAAATATTGCTTTAGAATAATTGCTTTCCTCCCCCTTTTGTATGACAACAGAAGCTTGGCCTGATCTTAAATCAGATGCTGGCAGGCAGAGGGCTCTTGACAGCCCTGCAAAATCCTTTAGTTACAAGTCGGCTTTAGCCAATTCTTTATTTGTAAATGACAATTTTCTACAGAAAAATATATGCTTGGGCTTCAATTTGGGAGCCCAGATTGCGGCCAGGGAAAATAATTGAATTTTACACTGGGTTTTTTCTGTCTTTTCTTCCTAACTTAGGAAAAAACCTCAAGTGAAGCTCTGTGAAGCACGGTAGGGGCTGATGGAGGGGAAATATCCACCCTGCTTCATCTGAGCAGCAGAGACAGCAGGGATGTGATGTTTAATGTGTTCTGCACTGAGAGTGTTCGGGGCTCCTGCTAGGTTTTGGGGGGATGGCTCAGTTCTGTGCCTGTGCTACACAGCACCCTGTGTCACAGAGCCGGGGGGGCAGTTTGGGGAGCCCCACTGCTCACAGTGGGTCTGATGTGTGTCCAGTCAACTGCCCTGGGGTGTTCCCTTTGCATTGCTTCAGCATCCGCTGGCTGTGGTGTAACCAGGCAAGTCCTGGTGCTGGAGTTTAGGGGGCATTTTTTGCCTCTGGTCTTTGTAAGTTGGCTCCTGTCATACAGAAACCAAACTGAGGTGCTTTACTGCATGAATTTGTTAGTGATGTGAGCGTTGGCTTCAGAACATCTCTGCGTGGTGGGGTAGGCTGCTAGTGAGCTAAGGTCACTGCCTGCTCTAAGCCGGGACATTTCCCCTCTGTCCAAGTGTATGGGGATGATGCCAACCCTGTCAGAGCATGGTGACAATGTTGTCCTGGATCTGCCTTGATTTAAGGTGTCCCACAAGGGTCAAACGGTTTGGGATCAGCCCACCAAAGGCACCAGCTTCCACTGGCATCGTTAGGGATCTGAATCCTGCCCATCTCATAGGGCTTTGGGCGATGGGTTTTGTGTCAGAATGTTCTCTGTAGGGAGTCCAGCGTCATCCCTGCACTTTGTATGGACCAACCTCAGGTGTGCATGGGTCAGCAGGAGGAGCTGGGTGCTCAGCTGGGGTCTTGGGGAGCACAAAGGAGTTTCTGACGGGCCTGATCCAGCCCTAATGGACAGCGGTACCATAAACATTTTGGGTGGGAGGGTGTTTTGCGGCAGCTGGAGGAGCCCTGGATCAGCAGCTCTCACCATCTTCCTTAATGTGGTTGGTTCTAAAGTAACTGTGCAAGTTCATTTCAAACTGACCCACGGAAACTGAATAGCACAACTCTGCAATTCGATGTAATCACCTTTTGCCTTCCAAGGAGCACGCACTCTGCCTTTAGGAGGGGGAATGGCTTGTTGTCTTTGAGACAGCAGCTATGAGGGTACCGCACGTGGGCTCCTTCACTTCTCTTGGCATTGAGAAGCACAATAAAATCCACTTATTAAAACAAAATATCCAGGGCTGCAGTTGTTATTGAGAGGCTGTGCTCAGCCATGCCTCGGATAAAACCCAAGCAAGACAGAGGTGGGGGGGAAAGTATCTAATCAAATAGAACCTGAGCTGCTCTGCAAAGGCATATTCCCATTAAGTGGGTTAGGGATGGCTGTTGCTGTTCTGCGCGTGCCGTTTGAAATAACCTGGTTAAACCATGTGCTTGTCTTGTAATCTCTTCCAGATGGTCACAAGAACAAAGAAAATATTTGTGGGTGGCTTATCGGCTAACACGGTAGTGGAGGACGTAAAGCAATACTTCGAGCAGTTTGGCAAGGTAAGGTCCTGCCCCGGAGCGCGCGGCGCGGTTTGGATTCCTCTCCTTTGCTTTCTTCCTCCTGTCTTATTGAAGTGTGGCTTGAAAACAAAAGCACAGGGAGTTCTGTGCTCGGGGGCGGCCACGCTTGGTGCCTCGCCTCGCAGGGTAATTTGTTGTAGCCTCTGGAATCCCTGTTCTGTTCGGTGCGTGTGTACAGCACTGCCAGTGCTTGTGTCATTAAAGAGAGCCACTGGGAGGTGAATCTGTGTGTGTGTAAATCAGCCTTCTGTTCAGCCCTGACCGCAGTGGCAAAAGGAGCAGATAGACCTGTTGGAGGGAGCTCATTAGGTGGTGAAAATGCCTGGAGGAGCCAGTGAATAGGCAGAGTAATGTGGGAGCCTCTGGAATATCCATCCCATTTCTTATTTAAACATCCTCATGCAAGATGCTGTGGAAATTTATGTAGAATCCTGACATCATTTAAAAGAAAGTGTATGCACAGCAGGAATCCTGACCCTTGCCAGAATAGTCCTTTCTGTGATGGAACAGCTCAGACCCCAGGCTGTGACTGGGGCTTAGTGCCATCACCTTCCATGGAGCTTCCTGGACCCCAAGGCTTTGGGATGCTTGGTCAGGAGTCCAACAAGGTGAAGGGCTTGCAGAGCCATCTGCTCCAAGAGCAGTTCATGGTGTCACCTTCCATGGAGACTCCTGTCAGCCCCACTGCCTGCAGGCTCCATGCAGCTCAGTTCCTGTCTCTCAGGTACACCAGCTGATGGTTTGGGTGCGTGATTGCATGAAGACACAACAGGATCTCCCAGAACAAAGCAGCTCCCATTCCTTGTAGTTCATTTATGTTTCTCTTATCTGCCCCCAAAGCCTTGGTCGTGCAGTGCTTTGCTGGGGGCTGAGGGGGTGAGTTTATAAATGATCCCTGTGCTGGATTGATGGTTGTTTTGAAACCTTTCATGTTATTTGCAATAATAATCTTCGATTCTGGCAGGATGTTTACAGCCTGCTGAGCCTTTTATTAAAGGATTACACGAGCTTTTGGATGTTTCTTCTGTAGTTACTTCTAATTGCAGAACTCTTCTAACCTGTATTTTTGAAGTTAATAATAGTTTCAATAGAAGTGCTTTGCATATTGTCTGGATGCTGCCTTAATATAGTCTTTTTTAATTTTACCATCTGGTAGTTTCATGCTTGCAGTTTTACAGTCCCTGAGATTGCAGACAACGAGGCTGTGTTTTTCAGGAGTGACTAGTGATTCGGGACACTTGAGTCCTGCCTTTCTTGAGGTGGCTTAAAAGGGGTTTTCCTTTCCAAAGGCAATGCTTCTGGAAAACCAAGTGGATTTCTCAAGTGTCTTAATTTGAAGGCTTAAATTAAGGTGCTGAAGATAATTGCCCAAGGTGTGATGGAGGCTGGAGCCTGTTCCTCTGGCAGTCTGTGCTGCTGAGGCTGCGTGGTCCAGTCCTTAGAGGCCAGCTCCTGTAGGACTCGGGCTCACCGGGCTTGGTCCCTGTCATACCAGGCGACATTTTCCAGGTGGATCCCTGTTTGATGCTTCCCTGTTCTAGCTTGTGAGGAGGAGATGAGTTTGGTGAGGTCGGTGATGTTTTGAGGAGAAGCTTCTTGGCCCTGTCACTGTGTCTCAGCCTTGCATTCGGGATCTCTCTGCTGTGCTTTGCTGCTCATGAACTGAGACAGTTTGGGTTGTGGAGCGTTTCAGGTGCCTCTCCCCAAGGCTCTGGTGGTGAGGAGATGCAGAGCTGTTTAATGACCCGAGGAACCTGTGGTCCAGCTGAATTAGAAGACTCATTAATGTGCTGTGGTGGGTGTGATGTTACATTCAGCTATAATGCCCCAGAACTGGCCCTGTGGGACCCTCTGGGAGCTGCTTCCTTCTTCATTTGCTTCCCCTCCTTTCCTTGACTCCCTTGCTCGCATTGCAAGCCCTTTGTGGCAGGTACTGGTGACCCATCCATGCACTGCTTAGGGAGCAAGCTTCGCTCTCCAGTCCAGCCATTGCAATGCAGACAGCGTATGGTGATGGATTAGTAAGGTTTGCATTTGCTTAGCACCTCCTTAAAATAAAGCAAATTGCATTAGCTAAGGTGCAGGGGAGCCGCCCATGTTTGATAAGAGCATCTCAGGTGACTTGCTCTTTGAAAGGCTGAGCTTATTTATTGGTGTGGAAAGAATCGCTTACCTACTGCTGCGATTCTTGAAATCCTGTTTGTACTTGCTGCAGAGAAGAGCTTTGCAGCCAGGGGAGGTTGTTTTGGTAACTGGATGTAGCTCTCAGCATACCCAGCGTGTTTAGAACAGCTCCCAGTTTTGAGGCTCGCTCCTTTAACTGGAGCTGCCAGCGGAGGCCGTGAAGTGTTGAATTGGAAACTGCAGCTTTTTGGAAAGTAAATGCCAGGATCTTTTTTTCCTCCAATAAAAAGTGCTTTAATGAACCCTCTTCCCTGACTGCACCACTTAAAACGCCTCCTGTGAGAGCACCAAAACGCGTGGTAATGAAAACTCCTGAGACTTTGATTGTGAAATTCCTGATAGTGTTTGTTATTTCTTCCTATAAAGGCCAGGGTGTGCAGGAGTCCCAGCTTTGATTTCGGGAAGGTGGGCATCCCTGGCTGCCGTAAGCTGTGGAGGAAAACTGGGGAATCATAGAATCATGGAATGGTTTGTGGCTAAAGGGACCTTAAAGCTCATCCAGTTCCAACCCTTGCCACGGGCTGGGACACCTTCCACTAGAGCAGCTTGCTCCAGGTCCTGTCCAGTCTGGCCTTGACTGTCCTGGTACCCGATCCTGGTGGTCTAAGGCAGTTGTGTCTGTGATGCTCTGTTATTTCAGTCAGAGATGTTTCTAACATTCTGGCCAACAAAATAATTCATCGGCGACATGACCCATGTGCAGCACTGCCCTTGTGCTGGGTGAAAAGCTGGCTGTTAAGAGCAGGTTGTAAATGAGGAAGTGCTGGAAGTGAGGCGATCCAAAGGGAAGCTCAGTGGGGCTGCGCTTCCCTCTCCTCTGGAGATGCCGCAGGTGCTGCCTGGAGCCATCAGCAGGTCTGTGGCTTTCTGGAGGTGTAAGCAAAACGGTGCTGGAGGAGATCAGGACGAGTTGGAGTATTTCAGGCTTCTGGTATCATTGAAATAAAAGGGGAAAAAGAAGCAAGAGCCTCTGAAAGCCTCACCCTGGCTGTGCCCAGCAGAAGAAAGCCCCCAGCCACTAAGGAGCTGCACTTCTGAGGACGTGAGTGTTCTGCACCTTTTCAGCTGGACGGGGCTGATGCTGAGGGGGTTCTTAGGGTCCGTTTTTACTGGGTAATGCTCCCTTCAGAGAGCTCCTGTGAAAGTTGTGCAGTCCTTAGTTTGCGACTTGCAATTATACTTCACATGGCGAACTGTGTAATTAGTTTGGAAGACTTATGCCTAGTCATTGGTTTATCCTAATCGGCTTTGGCTTTTCCCAACAACAAAGTGAGCTTATTTTCCTAAGCTGAAACAACTCTGCTCCCTTTGTTCCTCTCTTTTATTGTCTCATTCCTTTCATTCTGTTTTACTGCCAAAGTTTTGTTTCATTAGGCCTACAAGTCATTTCCAATCCAGTGGGCTGCTACAATAAGGCCTTTATAACTCAGCTGCCCTGGTTCCCATGTCCCTTCTGGTCTGGAGCCAGGACTTGCTGTTTGACATGGGATTTTAACCCTTTCGGTGCCCCAGCTGCCAGCACCCCCTTTGTCCTCATCAGAGAGGTGAAGGCTGGGATGAGGGTGGCTTGGTGGGACCACGGGATGAGCTCATGGACCCAAACGGTCGCCTGTGGCTGTTAATGGATGTGTCCATGTGGTTGGGCTCCAGGTACAACGTTTGGACCCAGTTACCACAAACCAATTCCAAGTAAAACTCTTCGTGCTGGAATGCTGTAATGAGCCTTGGTGGGAACAGCCCTCTGAATGAAAAGGCCACTGTGTCCTTGCAGCCGCTGCTTCCAGCATGATGGGAGCAGGGCTGTGTTGAAGGTACGTTTCAGTTGTCTTGAGCTGTTAGATCAGCCCGTGTATGAGTGGTGGTGTAGCAAAACTGCTGCTTTGTTGTGTGGGAGAGAACCCGTTCAGATTGATACCCTTGAACAAGAATGGTGATTTGTAGATGAGATGTGGAAATAGTTCTGTGGGTAAACAGTAGTTTTCCATACTGTTATTTCTAAGTGCTGCAAGAGCAGTGCTGCTGCTGGTGCTTCCAGCTGCTTTCCTCCCCCGAATCATCTCAAGCAGGAGCATTTGCTCCACTTTCGTTCCTTCACAGCAATCCTAAAGCGGTTTTTGGGGAATGGGGCTGTGGCATCTGCTTTTTACTTGGGATTGTCAGATGGAATTGGAACCAAGCGCTGTGCATGAATCCTGTTTTGTGTTCTGGCTTGCCACGAGGCCCCCAGACAACTTGCAGGCGTGTTTCAACTCTGCTTGGAGTATGTTGCTTCCTCAAGAATGGCTTTTAAGGTTTGGGAATTTTGAAACAAGACAGGATTTCACAATTACGTCTCTGGATCTGAAGGGTTTTGTGCAGACACTTGTTATTTCCCGTGAGACGCAAAGCAGGCCAGTGGCATAACAGCATCTTGCTTCTGATGATGGGGGGGTTTGCTGTGAAACTGTTGAGCTGCTGAAGGCTTGTTGTTTTCTCACCTCTCCCTTCTATAGCTGGGACTTGCTGTTTAGTGGCAGTTGAGCAAGTGAGAGGAGAGTCACTTTGCTCCAGGCTCAGCTCAGGAAGCTAAAGCTGGAATCAGTGAGGAGCTTGTGGACACAAAGTGTAAGAATGAGTTTCTCCTTTGCTTGTCCATCCCAACGCACTGTAACACAGACAGCAGTGCAAATAGGGACCAGTTTAACCACTGAAGTAATCGGGTCCCTCTGCTTTCTCTGCGTGCTGGGAAGGGGAAGGTGTGATCCGCACCGAGGGGTTGAGCCCGATGGGGTGGTTTTACATAACGTGCTTCCTAT